GAATAGGAGGATAAATTGTTAGGATATCTTTATTATATATAGAAAATCATAGAAATGAAGTTCTGAAAGAAAAGTGTATTATAAAATGGAATAAGAGAATAAATTACTCAAGTAGCTTTATTATTTACATTCTATTTACAAATGCAAAATTACAATAATGAAGTTCTGTAAGAAAAGTATATTATTAAATTCGAATAGGAGGATAAATTGTTAGGATATCTTTCTTATATGAAATCGTAGCAATGGAATACCTAATTAAACCTCTGATAATGAAACTCATACCTCAACTCAAGGCAAAATTCTTTTTCGAACAGGAGAAAACTGAACTCTTATGTGAGCTCGAAATATTTACCTAAATCGATCATCGAAAAAACGTACAACTCCCTAAACGCAGACCACCGGTGGACATTGTTAAATAGATTTTATTCCTACCCTGAACCTTATCAGTACTCTCGGTACTTTTTATCTCGTCAGAATTGGCAACAATAGGCTTTGAGAACTGATCTCTACGATCAAAAACGGTCTGGCAATTTATTTTCATTTTATTTAGTAAGGAAAACCGCGAATTTATTACAATTTAACAAAATTTCCCTGGAACACTTATACAGAACATAAATTAGATCGACAAGATAAATAATTCATACGACTCACCATTCGTAACCTTTGAGATACCCTTAGTGAGCTATATCAGTCCTCCTAGCCTTCGATTTTGACCCACAATTCACTTGGAAGCTTCTCTCAGACCCATGAAACTTTTGCAATTCCCTCAGTGGACCATTGAATTCCCCTCAGCCTTGAATTTTCATCCCACCAGTGGCCCACAATGAAAGATTGAAAGACCCAAAGCCAATGACCAAGACCCACCAGACTTTGAAAGCTGTGAAAGGGTGACGAGCGAAAAGTGGAGTACGAATCGCGATTTATTTTCATCTTCAGGGATTTTGTTTAGTACTCGAAACCGCGAATTTTTATTATTCTCCATATTTTCCTGTAGTTGATTTTAGTTGGAACATTTAGCAGAACTTCAAAAATGAAAAGAGACAAGAAACGCAAAAATGGAAAAAGGGACGAAGCTATATATCAAACGCGACGCGTCGTAATAAATTCTCGTATCGATCGAAAGTAAATGGAAAAATTGACTCTAAATTGAATTAACGCGGTATACTACTTTGATACTCTAATAATGGGAGGGCGTTTGCACCATTAGTGCAATAGAGTCCATCCAGTTCTTCTTTGACCTCTTGGTAGTTCAGCTTCGACATGCACATGCACACACATATATAACCAACCACCAAACCCTCAAAAAATTCACTCACAATTCGCAGATTAAGCAGCTGGGCTCTGCAACGTAGATTTGGCTGCCTGGCTGCATTGCCTCCTTCCTTCCTTCCTTCCATCCTCTCAGATCGTCATCCTTCCGCAAATCATTCCAGTTCCTCGTCGTTGATTTCCCAAGACTCACAGACTCACAAAATGTGAGTCACTGTGGAATGGACGACGCGAAAAGTATTTCGAAACGCGATTTATTTAAGAGGGGAAACCGCGATATTATATTATTCTCGATTTTTAGAATGAAGTTAACTTTAAATAGAATAAACGTAAAAAAAAGAAAAGAGATATGAAATAAACGCGATGTATATAAAGCAAAAGAATAAACCGCGAATTGATATCTTTCCCGAATCTCTAACGCAAGTAAATTTGAAGGAGGGTATCGATTAAACGCGTAAAAATATTCAATATAAAGCGAACTAGGGATGAAGCTATTATAATACACAATGCAACGACTTTAGTATTTACTAAAATTCAAAAATTCTCGTATATATTCCGAAAACCGATTTTTAATTGCGAAACACTACTGAGACGGTTTAATTTGGGGCAGCCAGCTCATATCTGAGTTGGCAATACACAACACAACTAACTACTAAACCAAATCACCAGAAAAAAACCCAATTTTGTAACTCACTGTTCGCTGATTAAACAGCTGAGCTCTGCAACGTGGATTTGACTGCATTTTCTCCTTCCTTCCACTCAGATCGTCATCCTTCCTTCCTCGCAGTTCCGATCGATTTTGCAAGACTCACAAACTCACAAAGTGTGAGTCACTGTGGAATGGACGACGCGAAAAGTACTTCGAAACGCGATTTATTTCAGTTTTATT